AAATTTCTTTAAAAGTACGGATCAAGATTTAAATACACACAAATAAAATGCGTATTTAAAGTATTCGTCGTTTAACAAACTAAAATGAAAGTATCATAAGTGCCAATTATACTCAATATTCATGTTATACGTTCTAAATTAAATTTTGTATACTAGAATAATCGACATGCATCGAGATGTCGTACAATGAATCCGATAATTGCTTTGTGTGTGATGGACAAAAATTAAAGGATCCTTTCGTGTAGGATTTTCCAAATTATGACCTTTGGATAGTAATTTAACAACGAACACATGGCATATTAATGTATACATAATATACTATATAGTTATTATTTTATTTTGCTGCTGCAGCAGCAGCAGTAGTAGCTGCGCAGCCACAGTCAGCAGCAGCCCGTGTTCACAAACAGACCGCCGTTATCTTATCGGTTACTGTTGATTCGGCGACGTCGTCAGTTACAGGAATTGATACAAATATTTATATTGTATTATTAACAGTGGGTGGAATGTTTTCTGTTATATCACGTCTGTCCAGTGTCCTCAGTTCTAGTTTTGTCTGCACGCCCCTCAGTCAACAACCGTACTGACAACAACGTATTGGGTACGATTTGGAAGAACTCGAATATATTGTGCGTCTTATAAATTTATCGTATAAATTATATTTAATTCTCGTTATGTTCAACTGGGTACATTCTTATATTTTTAACTTTTAAATTTAAATCGTGAGTTTGTCTATGAACGACTTGTTTACGACCAGTGGAAAAACAAAACGTGTTAGTTAAAACAATTCTTTTCGTTTTCGAGGTAAACGCGCTTTCCATTGTTATCTCGCGCACTATGACGACAAATATCGAGTATGAAGCTTTTATCGAATACTACATTTCTACATAATAATTACAATACAATACATACAATACAATTACAATACTACATTTCTATTAAAAATTAAATCGCGCTGAATAAGGTGTCGAATTATGTGTACAGAATTTTCGTGTGTACGATACATGTTATACACGATTGTTCTGTTATTTTCTTTCGTTACATAGTAATATTATAAGGAAAAATCTACATATACATATGTATTTGTAATTGTCAATATTCTTTCTCTTTATAATCGTTACATAATGTATTTTAACAGATATTTTTCTCTTCATGAATGCAAATATGTACAAGAGTATGAAAATATTTCTAAGCACATTAAATTTTTATAAATTGTATTGTTTGCAATTACTTAAATATATATAGGTATATATAGTCATTCTTCTTTTTCTTTGCCTTTTATCTTCCACTTGTCGCTCAAACACACCAGCTACTTTTTTATCATCGTTTTTATAACTATCAATTTTTATCACTTATGATTAATCGATTGTTTGATTTATGCTAGTGATGTACAATTATAAATAATGATCTATAATAATTATCCTCCTGTGTGATTTTATCAATATTCAACAATCCATCCACAATTCAATATCTCACTTTGATATTCGTATCAGCAGATGTTATATCCTTTTTACTTGTATTCATTTTTAAACAATGCAATTTTCGCATTTGCAGTCGCAGCTGTCGTATCTCTTTATAGCCCTTATCTTATAAGATAAAAGATTAATCTATCACCACCGCTTCTCTCGTATTTCTCATCTGTGTGCGATAATTATATGCCGGAGCCCCCTCAAATAAACCTTTTTCTGTTTTTCACATTTTATTCGAAATTTTTACTATTACTCGTTGTTAAAATTAGTCTTATCGTTTTATTGCGATTATTAATTTAATTTTAAAAGTCACATAGCGTATCGAATCAATAGCATCATAAGTGTTTAAATTTATTTTCATCAATAACCGATTTGATTTTAAATTTAAAATGTTTCTTACTACATACGTACCAAATTAATATTAAAATAACTGATTCGGTGTTGGCGAGCAGATTTTACTTGGTTCTCGAAGTAAATGCTTCAAGTTTATTTTGGTATTTTACTTGTTAAATAATTTTTGTTTTTTAATTCCGAATTCCGATTTAAAATGTGCATCGTGTTTCAAAGGATTTTAATATTATCACAATTAAGTGACAATTTACTGCTTATCTATAGAAATCATTCTTCAACGGTTTAGAAAATATTACAGAAATTAAGACGTGTATCCTGCTTGTTATTCGTATATTAGAAACCAAATGAAGTAATTATTATCATTGATTATATTCTATATATATATATATATGAACTATTCTATAATCAATGCTATTATCTATTACCAATGGTTTTCATCACGATTGATTTATTGATTATTGTAAAAGATAAAAAATGAAGCAATGTTTTCTTCGTAACGCTTTAAGTATTCGGTACAGGTTTTAACAAGTTAGTGTTGATTTTCCAGAACAAAACTAGTCGATATTATGAGTTTCTATCGGGTCATATATTCCGTCGATAATCTAGTTGGGTCAGTGCTGCTCGGTGCGTTCTTATTCTTAATACGGTACCGATATCATATACATAAATAATTGGCGATAAAACGATGATAAGAACAAGACAAAGAACCCATTGAACCGTTAACGAAGCACTAATTAAATACACGTTGAGATGAGTTTTATCTTGTAATTAACTTAGTTCCATATTGTTTTCGATAACTTCAACGCGGAACAAACGTTTAAAAGTTAAGTAGTTGTACGGTCAAAAACGAGTAGTAGTACTGCGTTGTTTCGGACAATCGCGTGTTACGTGGCCGGTGAAGAAATTGAATTATTAAATAAAGGCCGCAGCGGCCGCGTGTGAATACACGCGCGTGCGCAACAGTAATCAAATAACAAACGAACGGAGTCGTGTCGGTTCGGTCTGCGCGAACCGTAAGATTTCCACGTGAGTGTGTTCCAGTGACGGTAGCCGAGCCGCCGTTTCAACCCGCGCGCGGACGTGGCCGGTGGTAAGTCGTCGTTTAAGACATCGTCGTCCGGTGCGCGTGCGACTCCTCCCCGAGCGGATCGGTGGCCGTGGGACGCTCGGCTGTTGCCGCGGTGAGGAGAGTGCGTTCCGCGGGCCTTCGCTTTGCTGCCGGAAAGGAAATCGTGTACGGCGCGGTGGCTGTAGAAGATCCCGGGGAGGGAACACGCAGGTTTAAAACCGATGTTCTAGCGCGCGTCCGGTGTACGAATATTATCGCGATAACGGTACTGCACTCCTCGGGGGCCCCGGAACGTGTTTTCGGGTCGTCCGCGCGACAACGGCCGTGATCGTAAACGCCGTACGTGTACGCCTTAACGGCTACTGCTCTCGTCGTGGTCGCGTAGCACCCATCGCGTTTCGTGCGTCCGCGCGCACACGCCGTGGACGCGTGTTCTTACGGGGACCGCGCGGTACACACCTAACTGCTGCACCACCGCCGGTGCCCGCGAAAAACCGTGTGCTCGTCGTCGTATACTTTGCGCTCGGGCGTCCGTACCGTTGCCACACCTTTATTTACAACGTGTGAAAAAAAAACCGTTTGTACGTTTTGTCGTAGCCGATAAGCCGGAGCACGTTTTGTCGTTTCAAACGTTTGATGTAACTTCGTCGTCGGCTCTCCGCCGAATGAATGAATAACGTTTTTTTTTTTTTCGTTCTCACTCTCTAACCCCGCTCCTATGCCTAAATCTGTACGTTACGGTATTGCCGAAATTATATCGTGCAACTCGTAATGGCGTATATGTCTGCAGTCGGTTTATTACTGTGCACACTATTCGAAGCCTGAAGGAGAAAAAAAAATAACAAAGTTTTCGCGCGTACGTGATTTTAGAGGAATACGTTTTATTCGCGATTGTTAAAATTTAGCCCTAGAATGATCGGCTTTCAGGGTTACCTAGGTCAAGTGGTTTGACGTGAACTATGAAAAACTTTTTGCGTTTCACTTTTGTTTGTTTACTTATTACATGTTTTTATTTGATCACGATCGTTATTATTTTTTTTTTTTACTTTAAGGTACTTTTCTTAATATTTTCTGAAATAATTAGTTTATTTTCTTCAATGCATTGTAGTTAGTTGGTTTGATCGATAGAAATGTATCAAGGAATGCTTATCAATCAAAATGTTACAATTTTTTTTTACTAAAATATTGAAAAATATTAAGGATTGATTTTCATTAGGTTCCTTTGTTATAAATTAATGTTTATGTAATATTTAATTCCACGAAGAGCAAATTATTGACCAATAATAATTAACAGATATAATTCGGGTTTACGTAACACTTGCATTTCAATGATATGATAATACGGAATGAATTTAAATAACATTTACGTTTAATTCCTATACCTAAAGGACAACAATAATTTATGTTTCTTCGTTTTTACGCCTATTATATATGTATAATAAACAAAAAATAAGGTTTATCGGGATTATAGTACACAATAATTAAAGATAATTTGGTGGCTGATCATATTCTAATGTTTATAAATACCTGAATATTATATTGTAAATGAGATGTTTGGTATAAGTCTTTGTAAATCTTCAAGATGCAAGTAGGGACGGGTCCACTGTTAGAGAACTGTGGATCGGACTATTTCAAGAGGCCACTTATTAGGCCTTGTAATAAAAAAAACCCAATATAATCATGTATTTTTAAGTTTATTCGTGATTATCATTGAAAACATTTACATTTATTTTACGAAGAATTCCGTCTTACAATGTGGCTCGGGATAGAGATGTTTTATTGTACTATAAAATTAAAACAGTGGCCTCATTTGATGGGCGGAGGGTTGGCAACTGGGCCATTTGTCACAATCTAGTATTAACTTCAACGTATAGTCGGTGCACATAAAAAATGTAAGAAGTCTTGTATCGACCAATTTCGTCGACAAATATTAACCGTGGGTCAGCTGACCTCTTGAAGCCTCTTCCCCTAGATCCGCACCCGGATGCAAGTATACCTAAAATAAGCGTCAAATTGTTTAATGTCGATATATTATTACAGAACATCGTAATGTTATAAACGGGATATCATTTAATTCATGTATACTGATTTTCGTTGATATTTTCTTCTTCCAGATCGTGACTTACGAGTGTACCAAAGACGGTGGGATCGTTGAGATCATCTCCGAGACGATGACCGGATCGGCGAACAAGAACACCGGCAGCAATAGCACGGTGGTTAAGAAAACGACTACGGTGACGAGTCCGAGCACGGCCTCGGTGTTGAATACTACGACCGCAACGACGCCGACAACGTCGCCACCGTTATCGGTGATTCCAGCGCTGAACGCGTTGGACACGAAGTCCGCGGCCACCGAAGAGAATAAATTGCCGCCGGCTCGCCGCCCGATGCCCAGGCTCATACCGCTTGTCGACCAAAAGGTACAGCGACGGCCGCCCATGATTATCCGGTTGCAACAGCCCACGTCACCGTCGGCCGACGATAACGCGAACGTCGACGATTACTACAACGTAGCGGCGGGCCAGAGCGCGCTCAGCGATTTCGCGTCGCTCATCGACGACCACGAGGACGACGACGGTGGCGCGACGTTCGACGGCTGTTACTACGCCGGCCGCGACAGCCCCACGACCGAGCCGACCGGCATCGCGGCCTCCTTGGCCGCGGCGGACCGTCGGCCGAGCGGCGGCGGCAGCAGCAGCAGCACGTCGCCGAAGAGCAAGACCGCGTCGTTCTTCGACAAGCTGAAGGCCCGG